AATGCTCGTTTTGACCTTCTGCGAGTTTCTTCAGATGGGGTGGGGAAATCACCTTTATCAGCAGTCAGTTCTTCTGTCAGATCTTTGTTATGTTTCATTTGAATGCTATTCTCTTATCAGTAATTTCTAAGTCCTCTTTTCTTTTCTGACCACCTTCCAATCTACTTTTGAATTGCTAAAAAAGAATCTTCACCAGACTTATCTCATTTCCACATTTGTCCCAACTCAAATGGTGATATGAGCTCACTAAGAGCTACATCAACAGTTTGGTCCAATTGTTAAAAAATTCCCATACTACTCTCATAGCCAATAATGCTAAAAAACAACTGGGCATATTGGTCGTCATGGGCATTAAAAAGAAATACCTTTTAAACCTCTCCTTGGCTCATGCTCCGACTAAAACATCCCTGGTTTGAACATAAGTGCCTTGTCTTAAGGTCTAAAGTGTTTTCACCTATAGTTAGAACAAAATACGTGGAGGCCAAAAATACTTTTAAATTGCTATGTAACAAAAAAAAAACTTTTTTTCTCACAGACAGCAAATCAGTATCTGCTCATGACTCTAAGGAACTTTGGTACTTAATTAACATTTTCAGAAGTAGTTAATCCTATGAAACAAACATACCCCTGGACACTTTCGCCATCATTTACAAAATGCGTTTTTCTTTATCTAAGGCAACTGCCTATTCATTTGAAATTGAGTATAAGAACCAATTTTAATGAAATTTTAGCCAAAATATATGAGGCATTGAATAATTCCGTGCAACAATTTCCTCTAATTATCACACCTCAGCTTAACTACCCTCAACATCAAACAAGACCATGTCATCCAGTGAACATCAGCGAGGGATCTTGTGAAAATTGAAGTGCAAGCAATTATTTTACATATTTTCAACCAGATATAATTTAATTAAAATATGTAGTGACAGTTCTATAGAAAAATAAGTAATAAATTTCAATAGATAAAACTAAAAAAGTAGCGTTTCACTTACCTTATTGTTATAAGTTTTTCCTGTGGAGAAATGCATTGATGAAAGTTCGAATATTTCCTCAATCTCCCTTAAACAGACTTTAAAATATGATCAAATATAGATTATGTATATAGTGCTTGCCATAAGGATGAATTCAGATTTTTTTTGTATTTTTCTTTTTTTAAGCTCCTTATATGCTCTTAAAAATTCACCGTTCTCATTTCTTGATTTGAAGTAATCAATCCACTTGAATTTTTGTAAAATTCATGCCAACAGAAATTCTAAGCCATTACATAATCAATTTCAGAAACTCAAGGGAACTAATAATTTATGGAGATATATATCTTTTTATTATGAATTATTCTTATTCACGAAAATCGTTTTTATATCTGATTTTAAGTGTGTTTATATTTAATGTAATTAGAATTTTGGAATAATGTACAACAAAATTGTGGAATAAAACCCAATGTACATATCTGACAAAACCCATCCTGTTCTTAAGTTTTTTTCCACCAAAAATTTGATTTATAGAATAATTAGAAAGCCAATTTTCAATTAATCCTTTAGAGTTAAAATCGCCAAAACTGAAGAAAGGTTGAAAATTTGTGGTTTTTTGAATTTGAAAAACTTGGCTTATTCATTGTTCCAACAACGTAAATAACTTAGCAAAAAATCAGAACTTACAGGACTCATGCGAGGCAGGTCTTTCAGGTGACTAGGATTATTGGACTAAAAGGACCATACACTGGATAAGTCCACCAGGAAAACAAAAAGGTAATTCTCTCTCTCATCAGGCAGGAATTAAGGAAAATAATAAGTCTTTGTACTGGCCACTACCCATTTAATTATGAAAAAAAGCCTCTCATGAAGAACAGATGTCAGAGCTTGTCATTTATGACTGCAAAGCTCTGGCCCAGAAGCAATACATACTCTTCGTTAAGGTGAATATGACACAAAAAGAAATAAGTGAAGAGGAATCATTTAAAGTCCTAATCTACCTTAAAGGTGGAATTTTTGAGGCATGGAAACAAATTAGAGTGAAATAGATCTTTTAGATTTTAAAAAACCTCAAACTTTCAAGATAGCCTACTATAGAGACAATTATACTTTAATTCTCCAATCAATAGAGTACAGTTACAAGCTAAAATGACAGACTTTTTCAGTTATAAAATTTTAAAAAAAGTTCATTTTGAATTTATAACTATTAGTTATATCTTTTTCATGGTTTTCCATTTTTAGTCTTCTGGATTTAATTGATTGTTAGCCTTTAGGTGATTGTAATGTAAATTTAAATACTTATAGACACATTTTTCTCTCTATATCCTCTTACATTTGTGTTTTATTACATTTACTTAGTGATACCTTTATCGTCATATTACGTTTACCTTTTTTTTCCAAGGATATTTCAATTACGAGGTTAATGAACCCTCGGGGTGCTGGTGTTTTTGAAAAAAGCCAATTTGGAGGATGTCATGTTCAAATGCAAGGCCGCTGGATTTACTGACGCTAACCTTTACTTCTTTACAGTGATGAGTGCTGTATTAATGTTTAAATCGTTGTGGACACTGACACCCCAGATTTTTTTTGTCTTGTAATATTAGGTTTTCAAGCCTGTTTTTAATAAATTAATTTTTAAAAAATAGAAAATTGATTTTAAAAAAATTGAAACAATTTTTATTAATTTGTTTATTTTTCTGACTACAATGTATGTTTTGATTGACAATTTTTTTTGCCCCCATCATCCAGCATGAAGGCCCAAACACAACTTTAGGAAAGGGTATACAAATTTAACAGTACAATGTACAAACTGAATTTGTAATATATTTATTAAATAAAGTACATGCTTTTTCTGAGTTTAGCTCAAAACAAATATTGCGTTAATAAGACTATCAAAATTAAATTATTACTAAGCAAAACTATTGCTTCTTGAAATAATATTTATAAAAAAAATTAAACTGAATTAATACATTTTCAAATAACAATTGAACAAAACATTTCTTTAATAATTTTTGTAATGATTAATGCGCTTTTCCAAATTCATTAAATTTATCTTTATTGCAAAGCTTTACCAAGCTATGATTTTCATAAACAACCATTTGACATCAGCATTACTTTGATCACGTACAAAATAGATAGTTTAGTCTTTTAGGGATGAACATTTTCCAAAATTGCAGGTTTTTAACATTTAAGTAACTACACTTAGTCATAATCATATGAAAAAAATTAGTCATAATCATATGAAACAGCATAAACCACTCTCTCAGTTTGTTAATTACTAAAAGTCCATAACTTTTTATTCTAAAAAATATATGGCTTTTTTTAAATGTTGAGATTTACTTAGGAAGTTTGCAGTTTTATATGCTAATAAATTCATAAAAGATGTCATAAACTTAAAATTTTCTGTTATATCAAAAACATAAACAAAATTGTTAATGGTGTAAGCAATTTTTTTAAAAACCAAAAACACTTGCATAATAAATTATTCATCCTTTATATAAATAAAGCAAATCTGTAAATTAATTATTTAAATAAATAACAAAAACTTTTTGTACAAAATAAAATTCATTCACTTCACTCTTTAGTGATGAATTGATCTATGAATTGACTCAGTCTAGCCTACACACAGACTAAAAAGACTAGAAAATTGATTAATGTCAATTAACTGAAAAGTTTTGGTGTTAGGGTGAATCAAACCTCATGAATGAGGGATAGCAAATAATTGCTGTACATTGGATTGGTTTGAATATGCCTGATGGGTGTTCTAAACAATATTCATGGCCTCCTGGAACCAGGTTCAACATGTAAGTTTGGCCAAGATTAGATCTTACAATTAATGTCATGGCCATCGATCTTTCAATTTGTTTCAAGATAAACTGATATTGTGCTAAAATATTTTGTTTTGAACAGCTGAAAGCTTACTGATCTTCAATTGACACTATGTGTTTTGAGATGCATAATTTTTAATAAGTTTAAGAACATAAACATTAACTTTTCAAAACAATTTAATTGCCCAATAACTAATATTTTTGTTGTATACAAGGAACTACTTTCTTTAGATTTGAAACGGGCTAAATGAAGTTTTATACAATCATTCAAAAAGGATACGAATGGTATCTAATCTTTATCTAGCGAATTCAATTGAGAATATACATGCTATACAATAAGGACAGAAATTTATTTTTGGAATTGTGCAATAATTTAGTATCATATTAAAATACTATAAAAAAGATAAACCAAATAGCCACATAAATGAAATTACTTGACAAGAAAACCTAGTTTTTTTGTTGGTCCATCAGCTTTTGTTATTTATTGCAATAATTTGTAATGTTTTCTTACAATATATGTTCCATTGAATTATAAGAAGGAATAATTCATTAAAAAATATAAATTTTGTCATGTTTAAATTTTAATGCAAGGTGTTTTAGTTTTCAAGCAGAACACAAGAATAAGTAGGAAAATGTTTGTTATAACAATTTTTTTGTATGGTAAATATAATCTACCAATTAAATTGTAATTTAATATTCACATCTCTCCATTTGAATATCTAAGAAGCACAATTTAGGGCAATTCTGTAATCCCGCTTATTCAATACTTGAAATTTGGCTAACCTTAGTCTAAACATAATCATATATAAAAAAAATAATAGTCTTTCATTCATTGGCCATAATTAGTTAGTAGTTTCAAACTGCCAGAGTTAAACAATGGCATTCTCCCACTTTTCTTCAACAACCTTCAAGTTTTGTTAACATTTGTCATCACCAAAATGGATTTAAAAAAGACTGACTTCATGATGGAATACTAGTGCTTTTTAAAAAATAGCAAAATTCTTTTTAAAATAAGTTTTTCTATACCAGTGATTTAATCCTAAAATCATCATAACTTCATTTCATTATACAAATTTTTTTTCTCAACCAAATACACCCTGTAAACTTTTGTAATTACCTTCGTTTTAATGTTTCTCACTAAAGTTAGTGTACAAGAACAAGCTAGTGTCAACATTGGCAGATACATAAATTCCGAATTCAGCTATTTTTTTTGTGGGTAGCAATGACTACGGGAAAAAATATTATTGTATTCATTAGCAACGTTTCTTTAAACATATATATGATATTTCAAAACAAAAAATCCGGTTGTTTATAGACAAAATGTGAACAGTAGGCTAACAATTTAGAGTCAAGATGCAAAATAAATTAAAAATCAGGTTATGCCAATCTTTCATTAATATTCAAAGTAATAGTAACATTAGCTAATAAGCTAAACATCAGCTTTTAGACTTTAACAAAATTCTGCTACTGTTGATTTAAATTTTAAGAACAGTAACAAATACACTGAAGCCAAGAATATTATAGTAATAAACCCTGGCTTTTTTTAATAAGTAAATTTACACTATTACAATTAGATATAAACTAAAAGAATGTATTATACATAACAACAATAACAACAAAATTAAATTAAATGATTGCATGTAAATTAAATGTACACACATTAAAAAAAAAACAAAAAAAACATTGCTAAATATATCTTCTTTGCTTGAAAAATCCAAATAATATGAATACCTCAAAAAATCAATAAAGAATAAATTTTGATGATATTCCATACTCTAAATCACAATTTGAGCGCCCAATGATTTGTCAAAAATACAATCACAGAAAGAAAATTACATTATTCTAAAAATTAAAAACTGATATATAAATAAACAGGACTGCATTTGTAAAAAAAATATATAAGGAACTAAATAAATAAAAATTTACTCTTTTGTAAGAGGTAGTTGAAACAGCAGTGAAAATAAAACTTGAATCATGAATGTTATATTTGTTTCAAGCAAATGTTTTAAGTATTTGTCAATTTATGGTAAAAATTTTTTTGAAACTAGGACTCTCTCCCACTTCCTGAAGCAGCTCCAACAGGCTGAAATCTTCTACACCTAGGACACAGGAAAGTCAATTTGTTGAAATACTTAATCAATGATATTGCAACACATAAATCACATTATTTATTTGCTGGAACACCTAACCAAACTGACCAAAATTTCTACAATCTGTTCATGGGTTAAGAGTTTTGGGTGAAAAATTGTACCTTGAAAATGCATACCTCAAAACTCAAGGATACAAATTTATAGGGATTGAGATGTTACATCTTCATTATGATCTAAAAAACAGAAACTCTCATTCGGAAGCTACAAAGGGAAGAATATCGATTTTTTTGCCTATTTCTCATCCTTTTGTTCCAAAGACAATTTTCTAATAAGATTATATAAAGGCAAAAAGAAAGGATTTGAAGTGCAACCTTTTTGAAACTAGCTTCCCAGGTCTCGTTCTCATGTGTTTTTTATTTTTTCCCCTAGTTGTATCTAATATATAGCAGACACCTCAGTGAGTGGGGCCCCCCCCTTGCTTTCCCGTCCTCATCATCAATGAACCACTCTTTTCTCACCCTTCCATTCACAATCTGGCCTCTCTCTCAAACTTTTGTGAAATCGCAACACAAATATTTTTCTGGAAAAGCTTCATCCATACCTCCATCTCATCAGGATTGTGCTGTTTTCTTTTACTTCTCGCTCCTACCCACTGTTTTCTGATTTTTCGCCTGCCAAGTGCTCACAGTTTTAGTTTTACATCATTTACATTCACAGTAATTTGTGGAATATATTTTTGTTTTTGTTGTTCTCAACTATATTTATTTATAATATTTCTTTTTCAACATTATACTCATCAATATGTTTATACAGACATGTACAAAGTTGAACTAAATAAAGCAATAATCAGTATTTATTCTGTTTTTTGGTTACTACGTTTTAAAACACATTATGAATACTTTGTGTGAAAAATAAATTTTCAATTAAATACAACTTTGTTTATTCTCCTTTCGTTTACTTAATTCCCTTCAAAATATCTGAGGAATGTACTGACAAAATTTTGAATAGAATTGGTACATCTCGAAAGGAATAGTGCTCACTTCATATCTAGGTGCATGATGCAAAATAAAATAGGCAGGAGGGAGGCAAGTAGTGGCCAAGAATATAGACAGGGGAATGCATTTTAGCACCCTAAACTCAGTACCAAAAAAGGTTAATGTCTTCTTTTCACATTTCTTCATGTTTTTCTAAGCTTTGATTACACAATATATCTAGACTAAATCATAGTATATTTACGTACATCTATGTAATATTTTTAATATAATGATACACACCTTGCACTATTTTCTGGTGGCAGAGAAGATGTCACTGGAGGAGGCGGAATAGGAAGTGCAGATGAAACAATTCCAACACATGGTTCGGCCTCTCTGTTCGGACCATCCTTGTCTTCATTTTGGGGAAACATTCCTAATGTGTGAGGTGAGATTCCTCTGGACCTGTTGTGAGTTACAACAGCAAGTTAATATTTTCCTAGGCTCCTTTAAAAAAACAGATTCTCGGTGCACACTTTTTTTTTTTTAAATCTCCCCTCTTAGTTTATATGAAACAACCTAGTGTATAGAAGCAAACAAAATGTGCATGCATGTACTTAGTTCTGCAAACCCTTATTAAAATAATTATTAAACAAATCAAAATAATGAACATCAGCATTTTTGCCCTTGCAATTTTTATAATTGATTTTGTAACAACCACCTCGTTGCATTCTGTGCCATGATTGCAACCATAATTGTGAAAATAATTAACTTGCAAAAATGGATCAGTATGATAAAGTGAGCAACCATAAAATAATTAAGTAACTTTATGTTGAATAGTTAATATATAAAAATAAAAATCTTGTGTTTTAATAAACACCATAGAAGGTACGACCAAAAGTTTAATTATGTGGTTATAAAAAAAGCCAAGAATGAATTTCCTATGGTGCTCCCTTTGTGATAAACACCTCAAAACTTATTCTACACTTTTCAATTGCAAAGATTGTTTCTAAATAAGGAGTTCATTCAAGTATTATGGTACTTGTATGGAGAAATACGTATCAGCATACAAACACTTTCTTTTTCAACAGAAATATAATTTTCCTTTAGCATGAGTGGTTGTATCTGGCTACTAAATCCATTTATATACATATTCTATAAGCTATAAAGTTTAAATGATTAGCGTTTACTGACAAAGTAATCTGATGTATTTAAATAATTACATTCGATTAGATCATTAATCCTGACACACCACATGATACAAAAATGTTTAAAAGGTAGCACGGTCATGAGTTTGTTTTCTACCTTGCATTTGTTTCTAAAATTCTCCTGGGTCTATTGAAACGGAGTTGAAGCTGTGCTTGATCTGTTACATATTTATCATTGCCTGCTCTCCTCCGTCGCAAACCAGGTGTAAGCTGCTTACAGTTTTCATCATCGGTCCTTTCAAAAACAAAAACTAATTAAAAAAAGAAAAAAAGGCAATATTACCAAATCCATACACCACAATAAATTTCATTAAAAAATCCTTTCCAAGGATTTATATATATCTAAACAAGGCACTTTAGGCCATGGAAACAACGTACCATAAATAGTCACACATACTAAAAAGACATGCTTTTCACCGACACATGCTTTTTGTGAAGCTGGGTCACATGAGACCTTTTAATATGATTAATTATTGGTCTAATTTGTTAGTTTTAAACATTCATATCAAAATCTCTTCTTGATTGTAATCCTTGGCACACAAGTTTAAGTTTCAAGAGCATTTAGAGCAAATAACATTAACATCTCATGGGCATTTCATGCTAGCAAATAACAATCATTTAGTTTGGGCAAAGGAACAAATATTTGATCTGGAGTTAATTACATAAAAGTGATTGACTACAACTAACTATTATTGCTATTTAAATTATCTTTACTAAAATCAATGTTTTAACAATTTAATTTAATGAAATACCAGACATTTCTATAGTCATTGATTATAGACTATTGACTTGATTCTATAGTCAATTATTGGTCACTGGGTTACTTATTGGGTTCGTCTTTATTCACGGATTTCTTGAATTACTCATTCCTGAGAGTAAAGTTGGACCCAATAAGTAACACAATGCCAGTTTAACATGAGTCACCTACTCGTAAATCAACACCTAGTATCAATTTCTATACATGCTACTTATTTTGCTTTATAACCTTATCGACACTTAAAAAACATTTTTGTATGAGAACTAATTTTTGCTCATTAAATTCACTAGTTTTGTGGTCCGCTTGACCAATTTTTACATTGACCAAACATTTATTTGTGTACAACTATATTGAAATTACTTGTATTATGCATTTTTAATCAAAAATTAAGACTAAGACTAACTTTATAATCAAATGCATGCTTAAAACCCATTCGCTTGAAAATTCTAAACAAACACATTGAAAAATTACTAAAATAAACCACACGAGACCAGATTGGATTTGTCAATTTTTGAAATCCTAAAGCTTAACTTGTTTTGTGCCATTTATCTGAAGAAGAATGGATCTACTATGAAAGGTTTTTTTTTAAAATAATATACACTGCGTGCATATTCAGTCAGGTCTACACGTGTAAATTCTTGTGTCAAAGTATAAGCATGCAGTAAAAACATACATGTACACAAAAAAAATATGTTTTTTGAATTTATTAAGTTCAAATTTCATTAGATGGATTTGTATCCTTGACCAAGAAAATTTTTTATTTTGCAAGATTAATTATTACAAGAAAAAAAAATGAAATAAAGTAATTCCTGCCATATAAGAGGGCTTAACGCCCAACTATTATGTGTCGCAGACAAGGAATCTTTACAATACTTTTTCGTATTATTCTCAATTAAAAAGCCATGGACTATAGGATTTAAACCAGAACTGCTATCTTGGCAAATATGAGTTGGATGCCCTAATCACTCGGCCACCGTGGCCCTATAGATTAATAATTATGTTAGTTTATTCTATCCTTACATCTGTTTTTTCTATTATATATAGCTGAGCAATTACACTTTTCACCATTTTAAAATATTTTTTAGTGCCACTGTCACTCTATATAAGTCACCATTTAATAAAATATCAAATATACACAAAACCAGGGCCTCCATATAAATAAATATAGCTAAAAATAGAAAATGGAATACCACACTTATATTAAAAATCAAGAGTTAATGCTCTGACTAAATGTAAACTTTCGAAGAAAGAAGGTATTAGATCCTGGTATCCAGAAGTGTTATTAACAATTTATACATTTATGAATGGAAAATAGCCATAAGATGGTCTATACTCATTTGAAAATTTTCAACGACAAAAGAAATTGCTGTATTTTTGTTTCATTTTACAATTAACAAATTAAAAATTTCATTTTAGGAGCGAAACAAAAAAATCTTGTGGGTACACTAATATTAAATTGTGCGTTTTAACAGGATCAGGAAATATCAGTAAAATTTGGTTTTTGAGAGGAATACTGCAGTTGACATGTCTGGTAGGGGTTTCAGGATTTTTTCACTCTGAAACAAACTGTTAATCACGAAAAAATAATATATTACAAGGAATATTGATTTGCAAGTTTTTAACATCTGTTTCTGTTTTTTCCCCTAAAAGATTCTACATACTAACATTTTTTAATAAGGGTTTGCTGGAATTAGAATTCATAAATACCAATTTATGAATTTTTAAGAGTTTCTGCGTGTACTTGTTGATTAAACAAAAAAGTAAGCTCTATATTAAATATTATTGATTAGCTGTCTGTTTTAAATTGAGGTGAGGATTAGCAAATTTATTTTTGTTTGTTAAAAAACTTATATATTTACAAACTTAGATAGCTTATAGCTAAATAGGCCATACCAACTTTTTTTTAAATTTATGTTCATTTCTTACAAAATAACAATCAAATAACTTTTGTGAAAAACTTTCTTTTATAAACTTTCCCACTAATTTTAAAGAAGTCTTTTCACAGCACTAAAAGAAAAGCTAAAAACTGTGTAGTTCATACTAATAGTTAAAGTTTAAAAAAACTTACTTGATAGTTGAAGGTAGTGTTAGAACTTTTTTAGCATCACTGCCTTGCACTTCATCTCCTTCTATAGTTGTTATGTACCTATAAATAAAAATAATTTTTGTATATTAATCAGTACGTAATTTCTGAAATGTTTTAATTAAACTATTTTTCCTAAGACTTTGAGATATATAAATGAAAAAGCAAGATCTAGGAAAAACATTTATCAATGTAATTTTTAAATTATTAAATTGTACGTTAATCAATTGCTCCTTTTAATAAAATAGTATTGATTGATAATGCTGATATGGATTTGATCATGCTGTACTTAACTATTATCAACTTTTCATTAAGATACTAACAAGCGTTTTACTGTTTTGCATTTTTAACTTGCTTCCTTTGACTTGTTTTTAAAATTGTAGTATGGGCAAAAGAACAGTTTGTAGCGCGTAACAAGCGTTGTGCCATTCACGATTAATAACACATATGTGTAAAAAATAATTTAATGAAATGAATTTATTGTGATACCATCATTATACCTTGCATCAGTGAGAATTGCTTCAGTTGCACTGCACCTCGGGCTCTTACATCCTACAGGAACAGGTATTTTACTACCCTTACCACTTAATTTCAGCCTAAACAAATATTATCGGAATGAGATACTATTGACAATCTCACTAATGCTTTAAGTCACTAATATAAACAAAAGTCCTCTTTCAACCCAGGACAGAAATGATATGTCAGTTCTTGAGCATTATTTTATTGCTAACTTAAATGAACTTAAAGAAAATGTAGCAAAGCAAAACTTAAGGGGAGAAACAAATTTAAAAAAAAGTTCAAAACAATGCTGAAAACATAAAATGAAAGGTTAATAAGCTGTAGAGCAAGAATAATGAATTGAATCATCAAAATGAAAGTAAACCATTTTGTTGCCAAGTTTCAATAAATTTAATATCTTTTTTAATCTATGTATCTACTCAATATCAAATTTACTACTAGGAGTGTAAGTAAGTTTTTTTTTCTTCTAATAATAACAAATTGATTCTAATAATAAATTGATCTAATAATAATAATAAATTGATTTCTCAGAGTATTGTCCATCGCTAGCCACTAATTTTTCCCATCTTTCTAACAGGATATTAATTCCAGGTTGAAAGAACGAGTGGTCTTTAGAGGCCATGAAAGAATCGACTCATTCCCATGGAAGTACTGTTCAGACAGGCCGAGTCATTGATCGAAACAAGTGGTAGTACATTAGTATATACCAATTCAGTATTTTCAAGTAGTTTTTTGACTGGAACAACATGTGGTCGAAAATTGTTCAGGCCATTTCTCCTTCAATCCACAGCTCAAATACAATTTTAGTCAGTAGCGATCCCCCTTGATGGTTTTATTGTGTTTTACCAGATCATAATATACTACACTCAGCTGATTTCACCAAATACAGAGCTTTGATCCATGAATATTTTCCTTTGCCATTGATGTTGATTCATGGCCAGGATTTAATGATTTCTTACACTGGATTGTCATAATCCAATTATATTGTAATAAATAAATAAATTGTATCCACTTTTTATCACAGTTAGGATTCAGTGCAAAAAAAAAACCCTTTCGTTTTTGCCTTTGGTGCAGCCATTCACAAGTGAAAAATCTCCTTTCCTTGTCTCTTCGCTATAATCCATATGGAACCCAATTTCCTTGCATTTTAGACATTCTCATGGTTTTGAGTTGTAATGAAATTGTTTGTCGAGTAACTCCCAAAGATTTTGCATGTTCTTGCATTTGACATGAGTTTTGTTCGATAATGCCTCCAATTCTGCATCTTCAAATGTTTCTGGCATTTTTTTTTCTTTTTTGTCAAAATCTCCTCTTTTTGAACTGTCTAAATTTCTAACTCACAACACAAATTGATGGAGCATGGTACCCCATAAGCCTCACAGAGCAATCAATAACCTTCAGCTACTTCTTTATTCCAATGAAAGCAGAATAGTAAAGCTTCCCACATATTGTGTTTTGTTGGCATAAAAGTCAAAATATTTGGAGTTCAAAAAAATTGTGCTTTATACTTCAACAAAATGAGACTAAAAAATAAGGCCAAATGATGATGCTTTCACATGAAAATCGTGGTTGATGCGATTTAATACCATTCCTTTAAAACTTACTTCACCCTAATGTTTATATTTATTGGCAATTAATTGAAACTAATTCAATACCATAGACTTTTACAAATTTTTTGATATGACGAAATGATGTTACGTTTGTAACAGTAAATCATAAATGTTCTTAGTAAAGGAATTATAATTTTGTAAATTTATTTCAAGTTGAAGGAATCAAGAACATTTTAATGCTTTTAATTGCATTTATATTAGTTCTTAAAACAAAATCATGAAGCAGACCCTATTTATCTACAATTAGCCAGTAAGTTATTACCGGAGTTAAGGATATTCTTTTATGCAAAAATAGAACAGTACAGATGGTCAGTATGTCTTATAAATTCAAGTAATACCTAGAAAACATTAAATTTTAATTAAATACTTGACATCAAAATGAAAATTCATAGAAGACTCAACACATGACTCTTCCCAACGTTTTTTAAGATGGCTACATGCTGCACATATAAAGAGCGTAAAAAAATTGATGTGCGACGTTTTGTGTTGATTTAAATTACCTGCAGTCTACTTCCCTCACAGGAGAAAGATTGTGCTTATCTCTCATGGATTCTTCAGTTGCATCGTAATATAAAGACGTTGTCTCATCTCGTCCTGTGCTAACAGGGCTTATTCCTCCTCTTCCTAATGAACAGTATAATTTTACAATAATAAATAAAATTATTAAACATGTTAAATGTTATAATCAATAAGATTATTTTATTATCTCCAGTTTGACAGGATAAAGTTTTGTAGAAACATGTTAATAGCAAACTTCCATGTTTAATGTGTTCTCAAAATATCTATCACAATTGGAACAAAAAAAATAGCATATAAAATTTTTTTTCTAAATTAATAAACAAAATACATAATAGTTTTTATTTTTATTTATTTGTGTCAATATTAGTTATTACTTTTTGCAATTTTTCAAAAATGTTTTTATACAAAACTATTTATTATATATAAATATCTGTGATAAAAGCTTGGTATAAAAAAATTGTTGAAAAAGTGTAAAAAGTAAATACACTATATTCATACTGATTTGCTTAAAATTGATTTATGTACAAAAATGGCCAAGAAATGTGTATTCGAGGTTCTTTTTGTAAATATATTTATTTCATATTAACACTTTTCATGGTTAACAATTATTTTCATACCACACAATTAACATATTTATAAACTAGAAGTAAAAGGAAAATCTGTTACTTCAGTCAATTTTATTTTTATTTTGTCTCTGTGAATACATTTTGATTAGGGCTTCTTAAACAGGACTCTAGGTATACTAAACCCACAAGAATTGAGTATTCGTTACACAAATCGTTAATTAATCAATCAACTAGCTGATTAGTTGTTATATTGTAAAAAAACAATAAATAAGATTAAGAAAAAAACTTGATTATTGTAAATCAATTCACGATGTCATAAAATGGACTGTATGGAAATGTTTAGTGTGATTTTTAATCTTGTTTTATGTTTTTTGTGATTTTATCTTTCCATTTGATAGCTGCACTGACTTGAAATGTTTCCAGCTTACTTATTTTTACTTAATGTCTGTTGTTCTTTTATTATAATTCTGAATGGAATTAACAATAAATTTGCTGCCATATCTTCTCGTAGTGTTTAATACATAGGACGCTCTCATGTATCTTGGACACTTTATTTTCTTTTTATGATTTGCAGGGGTAAGTGTTGTGCGGAAACATTCTACCTGCCTCTATAATATCTCTATTTTGAACCAAGCTATCCTATACTGCGTTTCGCCCAACTTGTTCCAACTACCGGTTTAAAAAATGTTTTTTCTTTTCGTCTCAAAATTCAGCTAACTCTGTATTAAACACGTAAGTTTATGTAAGGTTTTATTTGGACTCTTTGGATTTGGATTTATATAGGCTCAAATCTACACGTGGTACATACAAATGTGTCGAGTTGGGCCTATTCGCTTCCCATAGGCTACTGGCAATTCCAGCTTTTGCTATTTACCGCTGGCAGACCCGAGAATCACCCACCCCAGTCCAGGAGGCAGACCTCAGTCTTATCTGCCCAGCCACCAAGGTTTGGCTCAAGGGGGGGGGAGTTGCTGTCAACAGCTAAGTCAATTCAACACTCAACGCATGCAGTTCCAAACACGTTCATACTTACGTTCATTCCAAAATACATTCACTTCTATTATCATCCCATTCATTCAATTAGGGTGTGGATTACACAATATTCATCACCCTTTACCCATATTATACAACTCCAATTTTCAAATGTTCGAATCCCGCTCGTGCCATTGACTTTTTTATCTAAACTAAAAACCTTAATTAATTGAAATATATTAATTGGTCAAGCAGACCATAAAATTAGTGAATTTAATGATTTAAAATGAAGTACACTTCACTAAAGCTCTCTGTGGCCATTTCATTTGTCGCCGAGAATCCAATCCGATTACACGACATTTGAAAAATGGCAAAAAAAGGAGGGAAAATTCAAAAGGTGGGGTTGAGATAGGAAGTTGGTGTCCGAGTGGATTGAGGTCACGGTAGCTCAAGTGGTAGAGCAGCAGCGTATCTAGCCGAAGATCATGGGTTTGAATCCCGCTCGTACCATTAAAAACCTTAAAGTAAAAGTAAAAACCTTAATTAATTGTACTATATACAATAGAACAACCCCGTTTGTTCCCAAGAATTGGAACAGGGGATCCAAATTGCTGCCGTGCTCGAGCAATCTTCCTCTACATGCTGGATACACACTGGGATGGATGGCCCAAAAGTCAGTGTCTGTGACATGGCATGACCTATTCTTAATCGTGTGAGGATGACCCTTCTTTTACGAGTCAATCTCTGAGAGCCACCCATCGACAGTACTATTGTTATGTCATGGCACATGCCACAACTTTGTCAGTCTTAGACTCGTCTGTAAAGACGAGCTGAAAACCAGTGTACCTAGATATAAGCTCCAAGAACTTAGCTTGGTAAAGGTATGGTGGATGATTTGGCAGATTTGGCCAGTTGCCCAGCTGGACTACCAATTTAAGTGTCATCCCTGCTCTCCCTAAGACTTTGCTGATTAGTCGATTAGTCTACCATTTGTAGAGGTCATGTCCATGTCTGAAGTCAATTCGGATATTCTACTACACTGGCAAGGATCGCATCCAAAAGTGGATGTCCCCACCGCATAACAAGGTGATCTGCTCTCTCCGAAATTCAGGTGGCAGCACTCCAAGCTCACAGCAAAGGCTAGCCAAAAGGCTTGTTCTGAACATGCCAGAGGGCTTGAAGCCCCTGAAGACTGTGATAGTAGAGCATATCGAGCCTTTGCAGGTACATTTTTCCGTTTGAAGAATAGGCCATGTCATAAAAAAAAGTCGAGGGCAGCACCAAGTCAATGGTCTCTCTCTGTTTACTCTGCACCTGGAGTGACCAATGAACATTACTGTTATTACTTTCCCTCCCTTCAGCTCGATGGCGTCAATCTAAGCTTTGATCAAACATGAGGCTGAGGAACCACACCAACCCTACGTTCTTTATCGCAGCACCCCTCAGGCAGAGCCGCGGAAGGCTGAGGGGCCTCCTCAGTCTACAAATTTTTGTTATCTTTATGACTATATTTATTAGTATTACAAATACTTTATATGTTGTTGCTACATTTTAAGGATGACTGAGAAATGGTCATTGTTGCCAAACCCCCGGCTTTATGCCCCCCCCCAAAAAAAAAAAAATTAAGATTCATGACAGATGAGGAATTTTGCGTAAATCTAGAATAGCTTTCTGCCCTAACCAACTTGCTTTATGTTTAGAGTGTTTTAATAAATTTCACATTAACAACTGTACGAATTGCATTACACTTAATTTATGAATGTATTTATTTTTTGGTATATTTCATTTTTTTGATACATTTTGTACAAATGTTTTCTTGTAAATGTTGAAAGTAATTTGTTTATATGCATATATATTGTTATAACAAATTCCCTTACAAACTTTATCTCAGGGTACATTTTCCTGACTAGGAGATCCTAGATAAAACTAGGAAAATACCAGCAATGACAAGAAGTGAGAAACAAGTAAAAATTTAAGTGGATTAGGTTCCCTTACAATTAAATAGTGCCAACTGGCTAAGGGATGCTCCTGAGCGTCCTACTTTTTCAAGAAGGTAGTGTGAGTCCTGTCTCGGCTACAAAGGCAACAAGGTGCTGCTGTACTGAATTTGTTAAACACCTTTGTGGTGTACAGGGTTTTTATTTTAATATCATTGCTAGCTCATAACTATTCAGTAAATGTTGTTGTTGGTGAGTGCAAAGGAAATTATACTGCCAGGTTCTATTAAGAATGCTACCCACAAGCAAACTATCATCTTGTCGTACGACACCATTTGACAGGTTGCTAAAGCTAGGGAGGGAAAATTAATTGGAAAGCGAATGCAATGGAAGGATTGCGATCAAATTAATAGAAATGATGAATTGCAAATACTTTAGCAATTCATGTTGAGAGATGTGGTTGTAGAAATCCTTCAACCTGATGATGAGTTAAGGGCTTGAAATCCGGATCATTGGAAAACAACTTATGGTGAGTAGGAGCTATCTTTTTTAAAAAAGGATTGCGATCTGTGCAACATGAAGTGAACAATAATCCTAACTCGACATCCAGGTCTGGTTGGGAATCCACAGTCTTCTGAAGCGATCTCGTTTTCAATCCTACCATGTGTCTCTACACAAACTAATGTCTTCTGAAGATAAATGTAAAAGTGTGCAGACAATTTCCCCCTCCTAGAAAAGTTTCATTCTCCATTGAAGCTACTTTTAATAGTTATGGATCATCAAATTGCCAAACTAGCCATTATTGATCATTCGTTTAACAAAACGGGTGTCACAAGGTTGACTAGCATTAGTAGGTAAATGTACAATGTAGAGTTTTAAAGAATCAAATAATCAGTTCTAATTACTTTGAGAATACCATGGCTATGTGTATGCAGAATTTTTGAGGAAAAATCACCCATAAAAATTTTTAAAATATGCATTACAGTTTGCATATTTGTGGTCCAATTGACCAATTAACATTTTTCAATTAATTAATATTTTTGACAGGTATTGGTTGAGATTAAAATGTTGATGATTTTCATCTCAACCAATACCTTTCGTAAATGTTTTTTAATATATTGTTATTTTACAGTTTTTAATTAGAATAAGTAATAAATACCTTTTTTACATTCTCTAACATTTTGATGAGTTTCACTAGTTCTTTCCACTACTCTGATTTCTAGTCGCCCTGATACTGGCTGAATATCAATCTCATCTGAAAAATAAATTAATATATAACAATTAATTCATAAAATAGCCAAAATGTGGCATTATTTCATTATTATTTACAATAATAAGAATTTTACAATAATAATATGTAATGAATAAAAGATAATATTGAAATATTTTAATTTTAAAAACTATAATCTGTAAGTGTAAGTCTATAGACTTCAAAAACAAGCATTTTACTTAAATCTTAAGCATAGAGTTGATAATAAGTATTCAGTGCACAGTTGCAAGAGACCATCTGAGTACAAATAAATTTCCCATTTTAATAAAACTGTATTATAGTTGATGATGAATAAATGTGAGTCGGTGAACTCATGATGAACCCGCACAGGGTCACTTACTGGACCTGTCTCCACTCGTTGGTTTTTGAGTTATTCAAATGTGTCATCTTCAAAGAGGACCTCTAGTACAGGTAGTTCCTCACTGAAGATGACACAATACTGAAACGTGTTTGAATAACTCAAAAAACACACGAGTGGAGACAGACATAGTAAGAGACCCTGTGCCAGTTCAACATAACTGTGTTACATCAATATAATTGAAGGCTTGTTAATAAAACAATTAACTTAACGCAGACTATTTATTATATTATCTTTTTAATCCACTATTTACAACCTTACAAACAAAAATTGTGATATTTTAATATGACTTTTTTTAAATTCAAAACAAAAGTTACAAACATCAATTCATAATCTGTAATTTTATCGCAATAACTTGCATCACTGAGTTGCTTCTATGGATCTGTTCTTACAATTGATATGTTTCTTGTTAACATAGTTCCTGGAAGGCCCTTCTGCTCATTTTCTTTTCATATATATTTAGCAAAAAGTTCCATCGTAGTGGTTAATTCTGTTATTTTTCTTCATACGTATATTTCTATTAAGACAATTTTTCTTAATGTTGTTTTATTTAATATCACTGTTTCCAGGTCCCTGACCACAACATTAATCAAAGAATTACTGAATTGACATTTCATATACAATTTTTTTATTAACTTTTTGCCTAATTTTGTAAATTTTTAAGACCTATCTGATACAATAAAACAAATATATTGAGAAATGAGAAAGTACTTACAATATATAAAGAAACTTAATGTTTGAACTAGAAAATGGATACAGAATAGTAGATAATTTTAAAACTGGACACTAATAGTAAATAAAAAATCCCAATTTAAGTATATAAAAATAATAAAAAGACAAAACATTCATTCGTAATTGCATGCAAATACAAAACAAATCATTAAACACAAAACAAATAATCACCATCTTCTGCCGTTGTTTTAGCTGTGACCAGAGATGACTCCTCTTTGTCCTGAGATGACTTTTGCCTTTCTACTTCTTTCTTTGGGATGTTACTGCTTCGTGCCTTCGGCCAGTCAAGGGAAATTGCCTGTATAAAATTACAAAAAAAATATAGTTTGGAATAATTATTTTTTTCTAAATTCTGTTCTAACATTGTTAAGCCACAGACCACTGTGATGTGTGTTATGGTGTCTTGCTCATATTTGCCATGCTAGTGGTTCTGGGTTCAAATCCCAGCATAATCTATTGAATTTTAACTGGTAAAAAAAGGGTGTCGCAGTCAAGGGTTCAAACCACTTAAAATACATTTTTCACAGTATCATTAATTAAAAAGTCATGGGCTCCGCCGTAAGAGCTTTAGGAGACAAGTTTCAACATTTCGCCAACTACAGTGTTGCTATGGTTAATTTTTGTAAAGTTAGACATAAAAAAGCACACAGACACACTGAAGATGGTGAAATGCCAAAGCACGCACGACAGGCCAAAACGATCAATAATCAAATATATAGACACTCGCAATGAAACATACTTCATAAATGAGAGTGGGACCTCAGGGGTATCACTGTAAGAATTGTGATTGTGCCAAACCAATTCTGAGGTGAGTGTGAAGAAAAGATGCTGCCAGAAAAAACGTCAAAGTCATGAGTCTATGAGAAAGAGAAAAAGTGTCCATGCATGGATGTTCATGTAAATAAATTTGTTTGAATTCAATTCAACTTTTAACTACTTAATGTAGCTTAATTAGCTTATTACTAATTAGCGTATTACTTAATTTAATTACTTAATGTAGCTAACAATTTTTTATATGTGGGCCCTTCTAATAAGAATATCCCACGCACAAATGGTGTCCACTCAATATTGTGCATTTCCTTGTTATTTAGAGCTCCTCAGCTTAAGGCTTTTTACCAGAACCCAAAGCTTTTTCAAGGACTCCTTTGTGTATCCTTCAAGCCCAGGCTTTTCCTCTACCAGGAGTTACCTTGGCCTACGTATTCCTTCATACCAACAAACAGCATTCTCTGTCTCTTCTTCTTCCTGGCAATATATGTGCAGGCTTGTTTTCGCCACCCTGAGTTGACTCATCTGGAGTCAGCGGTGTCCAGTCAGCAGTTCAACTATTATTCTAGTCTTAATATGAACTAGATTTAGTAATTCTGCTGTTAGTTTCTATGATGGTCCTTTGACATACTTTTTTGCATACTTCTAACCTGAGCTATATTTCCATTGAATGGAGGTTTTATTTTTAATCCATTGTCTGTCAGATCCATATTTTTGACAGTTAGGTATGCCACAAAAGAGTTCAGAGCCAATACGTGCCCTCACATTGACCCGGGTGCCCTGGTACCTAAACAAATGTAATTTTGTTGTTTTCCCCTTATTTGACAGGGCCCTATGACTGAACTTAGAAAGTAGAATTGCCCTCAATGCCACCTACTTGTCCAAGTAGATGGTCATTCTTCTCGCAACTGTCAGCAACAGTAGTATGAAGGATTACATATGAGAGATAACGAAGTCCCACAAGTTCTCCATCAGCCAAGCCCTCCGACAGGAGTGCCTAATTTCTTTTACTGTTAAAACACGAGGTGGTAAAAACATGAAGCCAGAATCTGGTAACTAGCCAATATTGTAAAAATACAACTCAAAAAACAGGCTTGAAATGGACGTCTCATTTTAAAAAATGAAATAAAACTAAATATCAAACTAAATATCAAAATACACATTTTTCAACAAGTTATTCAAAAACACCAACTTACCGGCAAACTTTTTTTGCGGATCAAGAGACGTGGTTTGGTACTCCTTGTTGCTATATTTCGCATTACATCAACAGTGTAGAGGGTTTCATCAAAAGCGGCTTGCTGAATCAAAGGAGGTTCTAGTCCTTCCCTACATACCAAAAAAAAAAAATAAAGTGTTAATCAAAATAATTATTTTATTGCGACATCTTTTCAAAAAAGTGAAATACTATTAATAGAAAAAATCACAGAAAATAACAGTAATCAAAAATGAATTTTAAAAAAAATATTTATGTACTTCATTCATAAGACCATGATATTATTTAAACCAACTCATGTTTCAATTTTTAAAATTAATTAATTTTTTCATGAGGGTATTTCAACTATGACCCAAGGATGATATAAACCCAAGGTTGCCCTGGTGTTTTTGAAAAAAAGTCCATTTATAATTCCGGTTCAAATGTTCGAATGCAGAGCCACTCAAATTCAAACCAGGGACCTTTTACAGTGAGGAACGACATGTCAATGCCTTAACTGTTGTGGCCATGGATACCCCTGATATTTCAACAATATATTCGGACTTTCACCCTGAAGGGTTGTCACTCCCCAATGTGCTGACCTTAGTTCTATACATCAAGGCACGCATGGCCAATGGTATTTGCCCCCGGGCCGGATTGGAAAAAAATATTTTACGTGCTGGACAAAATATTAATGTCGAGATTAGCCTGATCTATAAAGCTAATAGGCTAATACTCTAACAAATAGTTTCCTTGCTGATCATCAACCTTCCAATGTGTAACAAGAATTCTGATTGGTTCTCTGTAGAGGCGTTATCTAGGTGAAGGGATGCTTGAAAACAATAAAAAAATTTGACAGTTAAAATTGAAAAATGATAAGCAAAACACTTACTTCTTTCAGTAGACAAAATTTTATTATGAAATTTGTTTGTGAATAATTGTAATTAACCACGGGAGTTCACCCACCCTATTGTGTGGCTGGGTTGCAAATATTTCTCTGAAGCCTAATGCCCACGAGATCGTTGATTCCCTACCAATGGGGATAGTTAGGCTCTGACAGGGGCAATCAACAGCTAAATCATTTCAGCCCCAAATGCTTGCAAACTATAATCTAGTCTAATACTACTTAAATCAGTTGCAAAAATAAATACATTCATATCTTGTACACATTCTAATTAGTCGGTGGAGTACTAGCATTTGTCTACAGTATTAACAATCTAACCTAAATTAGGGTCGATAAGGTACTTTTACAAATATCTGCCATCGACCCTAAGCGCACACACACACACTGCCTGAGGGGTGATGGTGATGCTACATAAATGCTTGCCCTCATGATTATAATTAGTTTATTCGGACTTCCACCTTGAAGGTTGTGAAGCCCTGATATGCTGACCCTAGGGCCCCCTTTAAACTAGATGCCCAGGAGATCATCACTTTCCTACCAGCATAGGCTCTGATGGGGGATATCGACAACTAGGTCATTTCAGCCTCAAACGCATGCAAACTATAATCTAGCCTAATACTAATTAAATTATGTCAGTCGCACAAATAAATACAATCACACATTGCATTCATTCCGATTAGACTGGAGTAGTAATATTAATAATCTAACCTAAATTAAGGTCGGTAAGGTGTTTTATAAATATTCTGCCATCAATCCTAAGGCACACACCCAGCAGGAGGGACGATGGTGATGCTATTTCACCATCATCACTCACCACTCACACTGATAAAACCCACATTCAAACAAAACACATAGAATATAACTATACACAATAAAATACTCCCTTGTCCTCTAAAAAATTGAACAGGGAACCAAGAAAATTACTGCTATGCTCGAGAACCATTCTAAAATCCGGCAGCATGCCTACACACTCTCTGTATGGAGCCTAGACATGACACGCCTCTATTATGTGGGACACATAGAGCAACCTTTCTCTGCATCAGAGCACCTGTATGGGCTTTGGCCCAAAGTAGATGCCTGGGTGTCAACCGGTATGGCCAATCCTCAATAGGATAAGGATGCTCTCATCTCAGGGTTAGGTTCTCTGAGGGCCATCTACCGGTCATGCTCTTGACTCACATGTCTCTCAGATGGCCCCACAGTAACACTGCCATCTTTCTTTTATAGTGTTTTTTATTGCGAGTTTATCGTCCGAGGGCCTAATCTCAATGGAGGGTGGGATGGAAGACCAGACAATAACTACCGTTTTTCCAAGGCACTCCAGCTCGGCTTATTTACCTAATATTTATCTAACAAGAGCAAGACGAGATGGTTCACAGAGAACCTGTCTCATGTAGCCCAAACAGCACTCAAAGTCCGTACTGCCCTGAGAGCATGCCAACTGCATACAACTCCACTGTGTATATGCCACAATGAGGGGGCAACACCAATAAGTGGCCATTCACTCACTAGCACACACATCATCCAGGTAGGTGTATGTATGTAGACCCAGTTTACCCTCATGCCCGTGAGGTAACAATTACTACTAAAGTAATAATTGTAACTGATTTATTATTTTTTTATGCAAAGTATGATTGAGTTGAAAAATTAGTATCACAAACAGGATTCAAACCCTTTCAGATGTTGAGTTCAAGTCCTGCTCGTGTCACTAATTTTTGCACTCATCCATACTTTCTATACATAATGTTTTATAGAAAAGCATAAAGTTTACACATGTAATGAAACAAATGATTTTTTTACAATCAATGAATAGATAATTGTTAAATGTTTTGTATTTTAACAATTATTAATGATGCATATTATTTATTTTACCATGAAAATGTGTGAATACTTAATTAATACTAATTATTTAGGATCAACCTACAATTTATAATTTTTTGGACCTTTCAAATTACATGAATTTATTAGTATATGTTTGTAACTTGCCTTATACTCAATCCAATTTGAGGTGCACTCCAGGCTCGTGGTAGCATTGGCTGAAGGTGAGGAAAACTTTCAATACCCGCAATGTTCAAACATGTTACTCTACTAATGCCATTTGTTTGTTTTACATTAACATTGTTATTTCCGGAATGACTAGAAAGCTAAAAATAAAGTTTAAATAAAAATTTTTGTGAAATTTATTATAAACGGTCTGATAGGTGTGAAATCGGCGCTTACTTGAGCTTGTACATTCTTAATACAACTGTGCTTAGTTGAATCTTCACTTATTTTTGATAAAAGGATTTCAGGGCTCTGCTCAATTTTAACGCCTTGTGGCTGCTGAATTCTATCTGTGAGGCTTGATCCTTCGCCTGCACCAACAGCATTTGTAGATACTAACTGAGACTGCATAAAAATGTCTTTTATTAAAAGGTAATAAAATTATATTGAAAATTTCTTAATAAATATTACAGTAACTGTATCAAAGAAACTGTAAATAATGAGATTATATTTCTACATGGCCGAAATGAAGGGCAAAGAAATATTTCAATTTCATCAATATCACTAATATTCTACTCATATGGATAATTGTTTCCTTGTGAAACAAGAAATAATAGCTATTTTACTACTTTGTCAAAAGTTAGTGCCTTAATAGCAAAATGTAATAATGATGTGTGGATGGAGAATAGTTCATTTGTAGTATGCACGCATGCCCTTTCGCCCCTTATGTATTCTAACCAATGAAACCGTGTACAACTTCTTACTACTAATTCCACTTCAATAGAAACATTGTCAGCTTTGTAAATATTCTATTGTTTATTATAGTTTATCTCTTCATGTAATAAAAGAAATTCTCACTTCATATAAGCCAAAAGAAAACTGATACAAGCAATTTATTCATGAATGCCAAAATATGTACTAAAACGGATGCCATTCATAACAAATCGTAAATGCAAAATGATGCAAAAAATAATCAAACAAATCAAATTGTAGAGGAACTTGTAAAACCTATTTTTTTTTTTAATTGACTGATAATAAAATGTTTTGTCAAATATGTCTTACAACACACTTGTGGTAATTTAACAATTAATGAATTAATTACTACATTGAGTTTTGTTTTTCACTAGTATGCCTGTGCGTTCCATCTACTTTTGTACTCTTTATTTCACCAGAATTCATATTGGTTCTGAAAACACCAAATCAAAGCAATTATGCCCAAAATTCAGGTACTGGTTTTATCTTAAGATTTTGTTCTGGTGGGCAATAAAACAATTTGGAACTAGTCGGAAAACTTTTTGCTATAAGGTCAAACAATGAGCCAGCTGATAGTGCATCTAATCTGAATATCAATTAATACATGTGAGTAACTTAAAAACCTTAAACAAAAGAAATTGTATGTTTTGTAACGCAACGTTTCTTTTCCAAGGAGGAGAAACAGACCCTATTCTAAAGTAATAAATAAGTAAATTCAAAAAATAAATGAAGATCTGTCAGATGCTGTCAGCATGAATTCTCAGTGACATTACACTATTTTTTAAAGTAAGGTAGTTAAAAGCAATATTTATACAATCTAAATTAATTAAGGATGAATCAAATTTGATCAAAAAGCTTAATTTTCATTTAGAGAACCAAGGGAGATTATTTCCATTGTTTGAGAGTGCACAATAAAAAAGTTAAAAAGAGTAACAAGACAGTTCTAAATGAAAAGTTGACTGCACTCCTCGACTACATTTTTTAGATAATTTTACATTTATATCAATCAATATTGCACTTGCAAGTTATTAAATTTAATGCCTAAAAGTTTCATTACTTTTTGAAATTAGAGTTTTTAAAATGTAAAAAAAAAAATTGAAAAGAAACTTGTCACATTTCAAAATTATTCCTACTAAGTTGTCTTTCAAACACCTTGTATATGATTGGGCATAATTAAACATTGCTGATGGAGGGGGACCACAGTGGCCGAGAGGTTAGGGTGTCCAACTCGTATTGTCACACTTGTGGTTCTGAGTCCAAATCCCTGCACAGCCCATGGATTTTTAATTGTGAATAATATGGAGAAAGTATTGCAAAGTGGACTCCTCATCCGCGTCAGCCAACAGGTAGTTGGTCTCCTGACAGGAATTATTTCACTTTACATTGACAGCATGGTCAGGAAATAAAATCATGCATCAAAAATTCAACATGACAATGTATTGAAGAACTATATTTTTCACTATTATTTAGTGGTTTTTTTGTTGCTTTTGTGATTCTTGCAAATATTGATTCAGTAATTTTTTTTTACCAGTCATTTAAAATTTGAACTAATTAACTATTAATCAGTTGTTTTCCCAATCGTTTTATTTCTGTGTTTGCCTTTAGTTCATAAGTTATATTTATTGTTATATGTAAGTTATTCTAAAATTTACATAAAAATAAACTATTAATTCACAGATCATTCGTAATATTTTTTATTCTTTTAAGATTCACAAAAGTTTGTAAGAAGGTGTTGAAAGTTTGCTTGAAATGTTCTTGCACAAGGGAAAAAGTATCTTTCTGCCTTCGTGTGTAACAAAGTAAAACTTTCTTAGTAATTGTTGCCAACATGTTTATTGGTATCTTTTTCTTTTACTGTTAAGAACTTGGTAACTGCTATATCTTGTTAAGGCGCTTATTGGAAAATAACCTTTGCAATGGCACGGCTGACAATGCTTCTTTGATATCGCCCAAATGATTAAAGCAGCTGACAGAAGAGGTATTCTTAGAATTGATTTTTGCGAATTTCGATGGTAAAATGAACTTCATTTTTTGTTTAAGCTGGAAATTTTAAAAAAGGGTAAGGAAATTTAAGAGAACAATGTAAAACAAAATAACACACAAAATACAAAAACAAATAAAGAAAAAAAAACAATACATTCATTACATACCAAGCCTGAAAATAAACACTCCCCAGTGCGAACAGCCACTTTTCTAATATCATCTGATTGTCCAAGCCAATTTGAACCAATCCCAGTCTGTAAGATCAAATTTCATGTAGTCCATTTTTCCCTATTTAATTTTCATTCTACTATAATATTCAAGGCCAAAAAACTATAATTCAAGTAAGTAGTATAAATCTAAGAGAACAAAGTTAAGCAAAGCATTTTGAAAATTTATACTGTTTTATTTATGAAAGAAACATTCAGTTATATTTTTAATGTAAAAAGAAAAAATTGTTTTGAAAATGCTTTAAAATTGATTATTTTTCTAAAAAAAATTTAGCCTGACATGCAAAAATCTAAATATACTTTCTTAGTAAGTAAAACAAAAACAAAGAATACTACAAATATTCTATTTGATAGTTCAAAGAAGGGGATGGAACTGAAATAGTGAACAACCATGTAACTAATTTGTACAGCATTTTATGTTCAGTGACCAGTATACTTATTATAAATTTAAAAATTATTCAAATGCTTGAAATATGCTTGTGAGGATTTATATGAGATTAGTAAACTGGAAATGGGATAAAATGGCTTGTACTATCAGAAGACATATAAGTCAGAAAACTTGTTCGCACAATATTTTTAAAAAAATTATGATATTATACACTCTTTGAAACTAGTAATATTAAATGCTCAGTCTTTTCATCAATCAGATTGTAAAAAAATAAATAAAATAAAATGTATATATAATGATTAATTATAATTTTGTATACAAGCAGCAAAAGAAGGTTGAACAAACCAGCGAATAGAAAAAAATTGATACAAGTTCACCAACTGAACATTTATTTTTTAAATAAACTATCCTATATTATTTATAACCTAGAAAACTGTTATAAATGTTAATTTGAACTATACTTGAAAGATTAATGACATGAATAATATAAAAATTTAATGCATTTGAAAAATGGGGTGGCACTAAAAAATGTTAATTGAAAAAGTATGTTAATTCAATTTTATAGGTGAAAACCACACTATGACTAACTTTTATTTTTATGAACTTTTATGACAAACAAAGGCCTTATGGAGTAATTATGAGGGTGCGAGGAAATGTATGAATCTTTAATTAAATATGGACTGTTGAATCAGCTGCACTTAAGTGATAATTAAAAAAAAAAAAAAAAAAAAAAAGCCATCTGTTTCATTCAATAGGCTTTTCCTATTCATATTTTTCAAAACTACCCTCTGAATTGGTTTCCAACTTAAGGAAATTGTCTAAATCTAAAATTATGATTAATAGTAAGGACTGTTTGATTGGAATGTATAGGTTTCAGATGGATTATTTATAAAATCATCAAAATTAGCTATTGCTCTAAAATAGAAAATTGATTATTACAAAACGGTTTTCTAAAAAATTATTATAATCTTTGAATAGTCTTAAATAGTAATCCTATTCAAAAGTCCGAGTAATTCCAAATAATTTAATGTTAGATTTTTGCCTAATTGTTTCTTTTTTATGAAACCTAATCATTTTCCAGCTTTGAAGTGTTATTAGTACCTTTAATAATAATTTGAAAAGCATTTTTATGACAATTTCAAATTATTTAATCATCAAAGACAAAATATTTGCAGTAATTTTGGTGGTAATGATAAAATCATAGTGTAATAACTATGATAAGTTAAAAAACATAATTATTTACAGTACAAGATTCTTTTGTTTTTGTAGGTTGTGTGTTTTTGTATTATCTTTAAATGCAGTTTTACATTGTAAGACATCAAATATGGTTTGATATAATTTAATACCCGTGCCTAACACACTTAACAAAATTTACGCTTATTATTAAGAACTAAACATGTAAAAAGAGATGATGGAAAATACTGCTTATTTTCATGGTAAGTACTGTCAAGGTCACCAATTTTTCACCAAAAAATATAATTCAAAATAAGGAATTCATATATGATAATTTTTATGATTGACTGTTTCTACAGGTGTAATTAGAAAACATAAAAACAAAAATAAAAACATTCACACCAATTACATTTATAGGAAAGTGTCTTTTTTTGTCTGGGCTGGATTTTCTGGGCTTTTAATTTTAAATCAAATTCTCCATTTACTCCATATTAACAATAATTTCTATTCTACAATATTAATTACAACCTACATTCACGATTTTTGGAGCATTTCGTCGCAAAATTGCTCGAGCTGGGGAGATGGCTGTTTGTCCGTCAATAAAGTTCTGTAAAAATTAAAGCAGACTGACAAACAGTTCAACCTAAAATTAATATGGAGATATATTTCAGGAATGACCAGAAATGTCCAAAAGAATGAAGAAGATAATTTTAAATTTTATTTACCTGGATTGAATGAACTCAAGCCAGTAGTAATTTTTAATAGAAAATATTTTTGACTAATATTTACAAAATTTGGTTTTATAAATAAAAATGATTAGGGCCTTTGTAAATGCAACAAGTTATTTGAGATAAAATAAAACAAAATATTATTTGAAATAGTTACATCTCTAAACACCTGTTGTTCTCACAAATTAAGGATGTTAGTTTGGCATTTGCTCATATTGAAAAATATTAGTAGTAGCATATCAGTAATAAAACAAACTATTTACTGTTAGATGATGTTTATGTTCAGGACTAGGAATGTTTTCCCCTTTCCATTCATTATCAGTGGTTTCTTCTGAGTCATCAAACTGAGATTTCCATTGAGACACCAAGGTGAGACCTAGAAAGAAATTTTAAAAGCAAAATGGAAATGAGAACTGTTACAAATGAAAAGCTTGAAAACATTATTATTAATATTTGACATAAAATGATCAATTAATTGTATGATAACGGTTAGAAAATTAATTATGTATAAGGCAAATATGTAAAACTTGGATTTATTTAAAAACAACACCCTACTCCGATGAATATTGAGTACTAAGAGTTGAAAGTGAAAGTATTTTATTGAGCATAAATGGTGGGTCAATTCCCTTCTCATGAATACTAAGTATTATGGGAGAATGAATGTGATCAAACTTGTGTTGTGAGGTGAAGGGATTCAATACCACAACGCTGGTTGTGTGCTTCTGGCTGTCTCACTGGGAGGAAGCAGCGGGTTCCGGGGACGTTGTTTAACTGGCTTATCACTGAGACATTTCAACCTGGGGGGGGGGTTGAACAGGACTGGGCTCCTGTCACTTCAAGGGGAGGCGGGGTGTGAAAATCTTTATACGTTACGTCTTCTTGTTATTTTATTAGAAACTTAACAACCTGAGATAACACTAAGTTAAGGAAACAGGAAAGAAACTATAAGAACTAGAGGCCTTTTATGTGCAGAAGGCCAGCCAGGAATTACCATTTGTTTGTCAACATCATAATTTAACCATGAAATGTATTTAAAATTATCAACACATCACTCGTTTTGATTGCAATATTGTGTTAGCACAAAATGAACAACACAATATTAAAAAAAAGTAACATTTTAAAGAAAAATAACAACTGTGTCAAACACAAAATAGTAGAAAATGAAACTCACCTCCACCACCTTTTGTGACTTGTTGTGCTGCAGAAACATTTTCATCATCTATCAACGCATGCTGAGTGACTGAAATATCTCTATTAGTTTTTAAAGAATTAAGCCCTCCTCCTCTGGAGGTCATACGTCTTCGTCCCCCTCTTACTGAGTCCTGACCAACTCCAACTGTAAAAGAAGAAAAAAATCAAAACTGTCTATCAATATTAGTCTCACTGGTAACAGAATTAATTAAATATTAAAGTAAATTAATCATGTAAACCTCTTAAACTTGGATATTTTGTCTTTAAAATCACCAAAACCCCAAAATTTAATATGAGGTAAAAATACAAGAAATGAATGAAAATTTATGGCACAGTTATTTTTGTTGATACGAAAAATCACAAAAAACAACAAAACAACAATGGCAACTGTACCGGTTTTGGAATAGACTGATGCATCTAATTCTGTCACTGGATCACGTCCCCTTGTAGGAGTGTCCCCAGTTGGAATCGACACTGTGTCATGAGGGTCATGGCTTAATGAAACAGTCTGCGCTTTTTGCTTTCTCTCAGCAGTTGAGACCCGCAATCTTCCAAGAGCTGCATCGGCTAAATTTATTGTATCAATTACAAGTTCTCTGTTTATCTCAATAATTAAAATTTTGTAAAAACATAAAAAGGAAATTCCACTTTGACAATAATTTCAAATGTCATTGGTAAAAATAATTATAACTTATAGATTTTGAAGGAATCTGTAAAAGTATCACTACCGTTCTTTTTTGTCCTTTAACTTAATATTTTACTTTTTTTTAAATGTATAATTTATAGACTGTTAAAGAATTTTGAAAGTATAAATATCTTATTCTTTACTGTTATTTAACTTAATATTTTAATTTAAAAAAATAAATTAAATAAATTGAAATTACCAGATTTACGTTGATTGTGGTTTGCTTTTCGGTCACTAAAGCTTCGAGCTGATACCATGACCGCATCCCCTTCAAAGTCAATAGCTGCTGTGCCACCACTTCCGCCAGTCCCACCACTTCCGACTACACTTCCTCCCTGAGGAGTGCCAGGCATCGAAATTGCCCGACGTGTTTTTTTAGGAGAGCCTGCTAAAAACAAGAGAAAAGGGGCATTTTGAAGAAACAATCAAAACAAGTATTGTATAAATATAGATTTATAGTATTTAATTATTATTTTTATAGTATAAAATTGTTTAAAAAATATAGATTTAGTGAAAAAGAAACAAAGTTACTTTACCTAAAACAGGTGTTGAATCGACAGCATTAGTTGCATTACAATTTCTATCTATTGATATATGATGCTTATCACAGTTATTTATACCCGATCCAGTCACTGTTCTACCCCCCTTCAGTCCTGTACCTTCATTATCGTCTCCAATCTAAAAATTAAAAAATTAGTCTAGAAATCTAAAATTATGTTAAGACATGACAAGTATGTCACATCTTAAATCATAAAAAAAGATCCTCATATAAATACCAACAATGTTATAAATAGCTTCCTTAGCAAGGAGAATGGATTTTAGGATTTTTTTTACAACTACCTCTTTTCTGTTGTCAGGCTCTATGTTCTCCTGGTCATTATCCAACTGAGTAGTGTGAAGGTTGTCGGTGGTAGTGACAGCAGGTCCGATTATTGCAGGTTGAGTGACTGCAGCCCCGCCGCCAGTGATTTGAGTTGGATACTGAGTTCCTCCAGTTGGAGTAACACCATGCTGAGGCTTTTCCCAATCAAACGGATCAGTCTCTTTTATTCCTCTTCTTTTCATGCAGCGCTCGAACAGGCCACAGAGCATGGCATAATCTGGTTTATCTTTGTACTCCAACCCCTGAAATATGTTTATTTAATAAATTGCCTATAAATGAGGAGGGTTTTATAAATATCATTCTACTTGAATATGCTCTAAGAAAAGGCGTAAATCGGATGGCAAGTGTTTTAACAACAAAGTGTGGTCAAATTTCTCCTTCATAATGCCCACTTGCTCTTTATCCTTCATTTTTCTCCACGGAAGTTGTCCATTTACAAATTCAGCTAACATATAGAACAATGACCATAAATCATCATGTCGACCCATTTCCTATAAAGATAAGAATATAATAAGTATTTATTCTTGAGAAAAACGTACATAAACATATGTGAAAAATTTAAAAACCTTATTTTTATGAGCATTAATAGAAGCATATCTCACAGTTCCTCTAAAACCCGCAGCTGCTCTAGGTGGACGAACTTCCCCGTATCCCGTTGTATATTGTCTAGCCAGCCCAAAGTCTAACATATAAACCTTGCGGCAGTTGTGAGGAAGACGACCCATTGAGAAATTGGACTGTCAAAATAAACGCACAATCTTTTAATTAAAATAGAAGGTAAAATGGTAAATTATTATAACCAAAAAAAAAAAAAAAAAAAAATTGTATTATTAAACCTGTAACATATTTATTATGAATACTTACGGGTTTGATATCTCTATGAAGGAAACCAACTTTGTGGATTGAATTAATAGCTTTGAGAATCTGAAGACCCAGGCGGAGTGTAGTTGAGAGTGAAAAGGCACCTCGGGGTTGAGCTCTCCTTAATTCAGCTAAGTTTTTTCCTTGCAGTTGCATCACAACATAGTTAAACCTATCGTTTCGACCACAACCAATAAATCTGCAAACATGCTCTCGATCTAAACAAACAGAAAGCCAGAGATGAGACGGTATTATATATGTGGGAAAACTAACGCCATTCACAAATGGATATACCTTGAAGTTTTTTCAGCACAGCAACTTCCATTTTTAAAACTTGTTTCGGTTGCCGTGCTGACTCAACTTTAAGAGCCACTCTGTCATTCGTTACATGATCCAAACCTTCATAGATCTCTCCAAAACCGCCACCTCCAATTTTTTTTATCTAAATATAAATATGACAATTATTCAAAATTGACAAAAGTTAGCAAGCTTTCCACGATGTTTACAACTGCTCTGATCCATTTGCGTAAAAATTTGTTCTGAATTATTATTTATTCTTATTATAACTTTCTATTAAAAATGATTTTGTTGGAAATGATAACTATTAAGCTTTAAAAAAATTAAATATTTTCAACTTACACTGAATACATTTATGAAGAAAAACTGAAAATAATAGTAAGATCTTTGCAAATTACTTACCACTTTCCATCTCTCCTTCACAACATGGCCAGGTTGGAGAAGATCCTCACTTGTCATAGTAATGTTATTGTTGTGGTCGGTCGTTTCATCTAAAAGGTGTCGGTACTCATCGGACACCTCATCACAATTCCTAAATAGAAGTAAAGAATAATTAATTAGTTTCCACTTTATTTGAACATATAGTATATATACTTTTTAAAATACTTCATACAAATAGTTTTTTGTTTTGTGGAAGGGGTGGAGTTGATAAAAAAAAATAGCTTCAGGTTTGAACTAACTCTAATTGTCAGTAGATTAATGTTAAGACTTCTTTTATCCCCATATAGCTATTCAAGATAATTAAAATCAAATGCAGAAATTGCATGCTTATTTTTGTTTTTTAATACTCATATACGATTATAAAATTTGAACACACAATATCCACAAAAAAAGAGTATTCCACAGAATTCCTTCTTTTCTGACACAGAGCAGTAAAAAAACAATCAAGTTTTGACATTAACACAATACAAGAGCAAATCCTCTTTGGGCCTAAGAATAATTTGAGTTTTTCCTTATGCCTTCCCCTAAATATTGTTTTACAAGATCAGAATGATGCTGTCAAATGGGGAAGACAGTGGAATCAACCACTAGTTACTGTTTGCTTTTAGTGCTTTTTATTTTATACCATGTAATCAACTCCTGTGCCTTTTCGTTGGTAATTAGGTGGGATTGAGAGATGTGGAAATGGAATAGTGATTTGAGGACTTGTTTCTACGACTTGCACATTTATTCTTGGTGGGACTAGTCATACTTGCTTCCTATCGACCATACATATTCAAACTTTTGAGGCAAACCTGTGTTTGAATTAACATGAAAGCACAATAAATAAATAAAAAAATATACTTAAGTAGTATAATTTCAAACAAAATTTCACATGGTTTGTAAACATGTGTTTCTTTGTTTGTTTTTGGTATAATTTTACATAGAGTTTGGGAATTATATAAAAAATTGTACAACATCAATGAGAATCATTCTAACCGTAACAAGCTCAATGAATGTTAAATAGGATTCCGTACATGTACAGAAATAATTACCAATATTTATGAAATAACTGATGCTTTTTTAAACTACCTACCAGGGACCATTCTGCTAGATAGACGTGTGATACACCTGCAAGTGTATGTCTTCTTGTTCTTGTTACAAAATGCCTTCAGTGATCAAATCGCTATTTTCATATAGAATTTGTTTAGTTTTCTTTTTGACTTCTAGATTTTGAATGTTGAGGAGTTATCAAGATAATTTTTTCTATACTAAAGTTATACATAATAAAATTGTAATGGTAGATGTTTATATTTTTTTTTAAAACATTTATTTCCAAAACTTTTTGTGTAATTCATCTACTGAGTAAACAAAATTTAGCACAAATAATTTAGACTATATACTTGTTAAGGGCAACTTCAATTCGTAGGATTATTCTTATTAAAATGTAACATGTAAAATGTATTTTTTTGTTATTTTAAGCAGTAAAAGATAAACTGGCACAAATAGCACATGAGTTTATGATTACAAGTGGTGGAAAAATTTACTTTATTGAGCTAAGACCTGCAAACAGTTTTCAAATCTTTAAAAAATAAAATTATGTTTTGAGCAATCCTAAATTTTAGCCTCCGTATTTGGAAAATTATATAAAAACACCTTTCACAAATTTCAACTTAAAAATTTATAAATGAATTATCCCATCGTTGCACTCTTTATAACAAAAAAGAATGGAAATGACAAACCAAGTTTCACACCATAAGCAACTCTAATAATCATTAGAATTGTCTTCACATTGTTTTCTTACACATGTGAAAACACATGAAAAAAGTTATAAATTAAAGTCATAAGTACGAATGGTATATTGGCATCCAACATCCTTCATCTAACTACTAATCAATATTCTATTTGTTTTCAAATTCAATCTTAAGAATGTTAATCTAAAATCATAACTTCCAAAAGCTTCAAACCATCATGATCTCTCATCCTCCCCATTATCTCTAAGCTCTCTATCACCTTAACCCTACTGCCCATTTTTTCGTCCTGAGAACCTGTCACATTGCCTTAAAATGAGTTCAACATATCCTCGCCCTTAATACCTCATACTAAGAGCCAGTGTTGAGTAGTTTCTCTTAACATGTGTCTCAGTGAAGTGACTGGGTGAAAAAACCCATACATGCATACATTTGTAATATATACTGTCTATAAATAAATTATTACATTGCAGCAGCAGAGGTCATATAAACCCTCAGGGTGCCGGTGTTTTTGAAAAAAGCCCATTTATAAGTATGTTGAGTCCGATGCGGGGTCGGTGGATTCGAATCCGGGACCTTTACCTTACAGCGATGAGCACCTTGTCAACACCTAAAATGTTGCGGCCATTGATGTCTCCTATTATTAGAGTTTATTTATTTATTTGTAATATTCATAAGAATAAAAAAAAGGTTAGATTTTAAATTTCATTTTATTCATTTCGTAACAAAATAAGACCTTTATTTGCTTTTTGATTTACTTGATTTTATTAATTTCCAATATCCGTCACTAAGCCTCGTCACAAGACTTGGAAGCACTGGCGAGACACAAAAGGTGAAGAAGATTCTCCCTCAAACAAAATCTAAATGATTTATCAATCGGAGCAAAACACTCTCCGAACTCTCAAAAGAAAATGACCGACGAAATATCTGAATTTGAATTAGTTTCATTGTGTCAAAAGATGGGCAATGCGAAATTTACTAACTTTATGAAGAATGTTGTGGGCGAATGTGTACAAAAAAAAACAAAAAAAAAAACTCAAAGTGAAGGACTTTAATAAAATAATTTGAAATACAATTTGAAACTACAGCAAAAAAAAGCCCTTAAGATGAGAAAGATACAAGTCAACATCAAAAGCTGAAGTCACATTTGAGTAGTTTTTTGGCTTCGCCTGCCGGCATTAGTCACTCAACGTACAGGTGAGAGGGTCAGGGAGCCCCTGCCACCCAGGAGGGTATAGGGGTGGTTTTGTTATTTTTTTATTATTATTATTATTGAGTAGTTCAACTCCAATATCAACAGTATCGAAAGCGAGACAGAGCATAGATGTAAACAAATACATTTAGAATTGGATTTTGTAGATTCAGAGAAAGTAGAAAAGTCAGTAAAAAATCAGCTTATAAACTCAAGTGTTAACAACTTCACTAAAATTAAGCTGTGATTTGGAGAGGCAAGTAGATGCTGCTAGAATTTACTTCCATTTCTGGGAAGAAATAAAGCAGAACAATCTGGAGAAAGTAGGACAAATTGCCTAAAATGATATAAAATGTGGAGAGTCTACCTTGCAATTTTTAAAAGAACTATACTCTATAAAGAGACACAAATATAATGTTTAAGGAAATTTTATTTCACATTAAGGACATTCTTACTGGATTGGCATCCTGCATCTTCTTTTATGGCGCACAAAATATAAAAAAAGCTATGAGAAAGTTTTTAATATTATACTTAACAAGTTTATAAATCCATAATTGCTCTCATTAAAAGTTATGTACTTTTTTCAAGCACAAACGTATAAAGAGTATTTGAGAGATTTTGTAAACTATTCCATTTTGACATTAAACATTTTTGACGATATTTGTGAGGAGGATGTAGTGTAAATTATTAAACAAAAAATTTACTGCAGATACTTGTCATTGTAATGAATAATGAATTCTGAAATTAGTAGAATAGAGGAGATCTACATACATAGAAGGACTACAAACTTTAAGAAAAAAAGCCAGAACAAATATGATTCCTATTCGATGACCAATTTAGATTCAACAATTTCGGAGGAACGAATTTCATCAACAAAATTAATGATCTTGGGTGTGAAATATTTAGAGAACCATGTTCGATAAAATGTGGTGAGATGAATGGAGGTAAACAATAAGACAAACTTCAAATTTTGAGTTATACGATTCTATAAATATAAACTATTATTTATTTATAACCTTTATAAGCTTTAACAGTAAATTAACTTTTATTAGCTATGGCTATCTGTCTGTGATTTGGGTGTTATTTTTGAAGATTTTCTTGGTTTTTTTAGTCATATTCGAGCTATGATATTAAATGCCTATCTTATGGTGGAATTCATTAAAAGGACTACTATTTTAAAATATGCCGGTTGTAAGATCTATTTATTTTTCTCTGAAATTCATCACATATCATTTTTGTTATTTTGCTGAGGTTGATCAAATCTTGAAACTTTTAATTGTTTTGCTTTTATTGGTTTTAGAGTGTATTCTAGGCCTTTGTCTGATTGGTTTTCCATTCAATTTGTGCCCATTCTTGGTCCGATTAAGATACATGACTTTGTTTTAATTTAAAAGTTTTGATTGGAACTATTAACTGTTAAGTAAAGTTGGATTGAGAGCCCTACCCAGGACCACTCATTTGATAATACTTTTTCATATACTCTACCAAACAGGGGGTAGAAATGTTTAAGACCTTTTTTACTGTTAGCTTTTCTTCTTTTACATCATTGTATGCGTCTGAATATACTGAATTAATAGAACTGTATTTTCTTCTTTCTGCTTTTTTTGTTTGTTTTTTAATAAATTATTAATACATGGTAGGTAAACCTGTATGCATCTGAATAAATAAATAAAGAGGTCTATAGCAAAACTACAATTCAACTGTGAAGAAGCAACATTAAAAAAGAACCCTTTCTTACATTCATGACATACGCTGAACTGGTGTAAGGTCATTTATTGGGTCTGTCTTCACTCGCGGGATCGTTGAATTACTCAAAAGCGTTTCGACATTGTGCCATTTTCAGTGAGGAACTACAACTTTGTCCTAACTTGACAGACAGTTCCTCACTGAAGATGGCGTAATGTGAAACGTGCTTGAATAATTCAACAAACTGATGAGTGAATACAGACCCAATGGATAGACGTATTAGTCAAGGGATACTGCACTCTTTAAGAGCTATTGTATCCCTCGTTCTGTGCTTAAAGCACACCGGTAAGTCCTAGTTTGTCAAGGAACTTTATTAGTAGGCCCAGGTTCAGTGGTTGGATTTTTTCGTCTTCTTCAGATGTTTATTTGCCCAGTTAAGAATCCTGTTAGGATCTGCAGTTTTTTCCTGTTTTCTTTTATATATTGTTACCTCTTTCCTTTCAAAGTTCATTAAGAAGTTCTTGGATTGTTTGTGTCCAATAAGTGAGTCCCGTTATACCCTCATTTTCTTTTTATCCTTCTGCCTGAGGGTATTTGGTTCCAATACTGAATACTCCTGCCACATACCTTCTAACATTCTAGATCCGTCTGTGTACCAGTAGATGGTGCCTTTCTTAGAAGTGGTGTTTTCTCTCTTTCCCATTTCTTTTTGGTGCCTAAGTTTGTTCGGCAATTTTGGTTAAATTCAAACATCCTATTCTTGGTATCGGGTGGTTTTTCATTTGATAGTTGACTCTCCATTTTAGTTATATTCCTATTGGAGGTTTCTCATTGGTAATACTAGTAATAGTTTTCTGTGCTATCCTCATTATCAAGTGGTGAAGTGGGATTAATCCTAGTATCTTTCCATATCAGCTGTGGGACATTCTCAGGTACAGATGCATGCAAGTCTCTGTATTTTCATGAGTTTTCTTCGTTTTGTTATTTCTTCTACTTTA